CGGTGAAATCCAAATGAGTTAAAAAGTATCAGAGCACACTGCTGTAAACTGTCAAGCACCAGGCTTTGTTGGGAGGTATTACCTTTCATTACTGTAGTTGAGACTGGTTGCTGGGGCAGTTGAAGAGGGAGTTAAGAACTGGAATCGTTGTGCAACCAGGAATCCCCTGGGACCTGGCCAAGTTGCAGCCCCAGAGTCCTCAGCCCTGGAACTAGGGCGGCAGAGCCCCTCGTGTACCCCTGGGCCCCTGGTGACCCAGCACTGGTGGGCCAGCACTCCGCTCTGAGCACCCAGGCCAGGGGAGAGGTGCGGGAAGGGGGATCAGGGGTGTCTCGTCACCCTGGCAACCAAGGGTGACGTGGAACAGCCTTGCCTGCCTACTTCTGTGCCAGTCTCAGCAGATGGGGACAGTCTGAGGAGATGTAAATAAAACGTTCTCATGCCGAAGAGCAGAGAAGCTGCAGAGGAGCAGAAGTTTCTCACGCATTTGAAGTTTGGTCAAGTGTCTGTTCAGTGTGTATGTGCGTGCACACGTGTCTGTGTGCACTTGTGTGCGTGCGTGTAAAGAAAGAGGGAGAGTGTGGTGTGGGCATGTGTGTTAGAGTGTCAGAGGGTGAGTGTGGGTGAGTGTGTGTGTAAGAGGTGAGGTTGTGTAAGAGTATGTAAGAGAGCGAGCATATGGGCATGTGTGTCAGAGCAAGAGTGTGGGCGAGAGTATGAGTGTGTAAGAGACAGTGCAGGTGAGCAGTATCAGAGTGAGTGGGTTAGTGTGTGTGCACATGTGTGTAAGTGTGTGTAAGAGAGCAAGAGTGGATGGGTGTGCGCGTCCCCCGGTTGCCTAACTGCCACCTGCACTGGACAGAATGAGAAACGCCTCTCCCCTCCCCTAGCCTATCGCATAGAAGGGGAGCCAGCCCCAAACTGTATCAGCAGGTTTGCCTTGTGGCTCTGAGATGTTAAATTCCACACCTTCTCCCCTCCTTACTCTGGAAAGACTGGAGCCCTTGTGGGAGCCCTTGAGAGATCACTGTCCTTGGAGTTTCATCAGTTCTCATGGTGGAATTGGTCACGTGACCGTTAACGGGTCAGTGGTTCTCTTTGGGTCTCAGTTTCCCTGACCATATAATGGAGGATTTGGATGTTCTCCACAGTCTTTTCCGGCTCTCACAGCTCTGGATCTGATTCGAACTGATGCTGCCCCACCCTTGATTCCATCCTGGTGACATCACCACGGCCACAAGTTCAGGCCTTGGAAGTTTTGCTTCATTTTTTGGTATCTTGGGATCTCGCCTCAATGCTGGGCCTTTGTCAGGGGATCAGGAGCCCCAACCATGCCCTTCCATCACACCTGGTGTCAGCAAGTTTCCTGCACTTTGAGGGAACTCTACAGGGATGCAGGGTGGGGACAGCTGGTGGAGTCAGAGCCTTGGGAGAGGAACAAGCCAGAACAGGCCGGCAGCACCCCCTTCCCTGAGCTTCTGCTCCTAATGACAGACCCTCCCCCTCCCCCCTGGAAGCTGCTTTCCAGTAACATGCCGCCTACCCATGGGCTTGGAGCCAGGAGTGGATCCCAGACCTTCCTGCGCAGCCTGGGCAGAGCCCTCCGCTTCCTTTGCCAGTCAGGGCCCAGAGTTCCTTCTGCTCACTGAGAGGCAAGGCCAACACAGGAAGACCTGGGGGACCCACTCTGAGAACATGGCCCCTGTCCCCGGTACTCTGGAAGCTGCCTTATTTGGAAGAAAGTGTGCTGAAGTCGAGTCAGGAGGCCCAGGACCCGGTCTTTGGTGGTCTGGTCATGTCCTGCCCCCTCTGAGCTCCAAATAGGACTTCTGTCAAATAGGACTTCCAGCTGTCTTTTTACCTAATGATGGAGACGAGATTGAGAAAAGCATGGCCATCCCTACAAGCTCCTCACAGAGGTTCTGACCCTGAGCCACGTCCATGTCCCCAGTACTAAGCTCTGGCCTGGCTCAGAGAAAATACCCATATTTGAGTAAAGGATTAATTAGCTCTCTCTAGTATAAGTTTGAGATGCTATAATCTAGAGTAGAACTCCTCCCTTAGACTCTGGGGAAGCCACCAAATCTTTCCAAGCCCCAGTTTTCTCATCTGTAAAATGGAGACAATACCTATCCCATGGGCTATTGCGAGGGCTAAGAGATGATATGTGCCTGGCTCCCAGCACAGAGCCTGGCTTATGGTGCATCTTTAGGAGTCAGGAGGATTCTTCAAGTTACTGCTCTTCACTTGTTTCACACTCCGCCACCCCCACCCCTCCCAGGGAGCTGTGGGTCTCCAGTGCACTGTCTGGCACTTCCTAGGAGGCAGGACATGACCAGGCCACCAAAGACCAGGTCCTGGGCCTCCTGACTCGGCTTCAGTGCACTTTCTTCCAAATAAGGCAGCTTCCAGAGTACCGGGGGCAGGGGCCACGTTCTCAGAGTGGGTCCCCCAGGTCTTCCTGTGTTGGCCTTGCCTCTCAGTGAGCAGAAGGAACTCTGGGCCCTGACTGGCTTTGTGGGTTGGACTGATGGCATAGAGGTGGTGAGGCATTTAAAAAATCTAATGTGCTAGGTAGAGGTGGAAGCTGTCATCTACCTGCCTTGGGCTGTCTCTAGCTTTTGCATTTTCCTGTAGCAGCTGTTGGTGGGGTAGGGTGTTGAGGTCAGCTGGCTAGAGCTGGAACTGGACTCCTGGCCTGTGCTTGCAGGAGCTCTGCTTCCCTAAACCCTTGGGCCATCCTGTCTCCTCTCCAGGCAGGACAGTACAGGTCTCTCAGTTGTGGTACAAGTGTCCTTTCTCCACCATCTGCATGGGTTGTCTGACCTTTCTGGGTACCAAGAAGAGAGAGGAACCTGGGCAATGACTGTGGATTAAAGATAATGAGAGACACCAGTGAAGGGTAGGCAGGTTGGTCAGGGAACGCTTCCCGGAGGAGGAGGAGGCAGGCAGAAGGGTATGATTAGCTAAACACAGTGTGGATAGAGGTACAAGATCAGTATTCTGAGGAGACAGACTAGACTAGGTAAAATCTGCAGGCAAAAGAGAATGTGGCTCATTTGTGGGAATTACAAAGAATTTGGCAAGGTTGAAACATAAAAATTAGCAGTGTTGGGAGCATGGGACACGAGCAAGACCAAATGATAGAGGCATGGCTGAATGTTTTAAGCTGTACAGTAAGAGACTTTAACCTATATAGTAAGAGAGATTTGGACTTAACATGACCTAGCCCTTCCCAATGTACCAGCCAGCTGAGCATTGGGGGATTACTGGTGGACACGGCAAAGACCAGGGGACTTCTCAGCAAAAGAGATGATTTTGGTCTGGTCTGTTTTGAAGTCAAGAGAATGCACATAATGGCTTTGGGGTCCTCTCTTGCCCTAGGATGGAGATGTGTTTTTTGTTTCCAATATGTTTTGAATGTCTCCTGGGTGCTTGGCACAGTGTCAAGATTCTGGACCAAAATAATGTTTCGAGTATGAGTCTTGACTTGTAGCTATACTGGCTCTATCCACATCAGTACCTGAGAGTAGGAGGGGCTTTGGACATGGGGAAGGCTGTTCCTCCTCCTTCTGGAGGATTTCGGGTAATGAGAGCAGCAGCCAAATAGGCTTCTGGGAACCATATGGGTGATGGCCCAGCCCTGTGCCTTTTCAAATCAGTAGATACTTGTTGAGCACCGACTGTATCCCCAGCCCTGGGGATATAGTTACAAATGGATATGGAATCTGCCTGCATAGAGTTTACAGTGTGGGAAGAAAGTGAGAGTGTCATACCCTCTTAACCAAGCCGAGCCCAGGGGTTATGGTATCCAACATGTAGTTAGTTGCCCAGGACTTCTCCACTTACCTCGCCACCCCAGAACAAGCCAAAAACCCAGAAGGAACTAGGGGCCAAAGCTGGCATTGAGAGAGTCCCTCTCTGAAGGGGATTTTTGCTACTTCCCAGCTGTGGGTATGGAGCCCCAAGGTGGGCCACTACAGAGAGTGGCCTGCCTGCTGCTGCTGCTGGCTTGGGGAGATGGTTGGTGGGTCTCAAGTTGAGGGGCGCATTCATGCCTGATAGGGAGGGAGAATAGGAGGAGTTGACATAGAATTGAGGAGGTTGATGGGAGCTGGGGCGTCTGCCCTTGGGGTCTCTCCTGGTTCTGCTACTGATTTGCTGTGTGACCTTGGACAAGTCCCTTCCCCTTTTGAGCCTCAGCTGCCCCATCCTAAAAGTAGGTGGGATTGGGCTAGAAACAGGGTGGCAAATAGGTTTTGTCTCTCCTGCAAAACCAGCAACATCGATGACTTTCAAGAAGCTGTCGGCTTCTTCAGCAGCTCTCCGGGCTCAAAAAAAAAGAAAGCGTGCACATCGGATTGGAGGTCACTGGACGCCTACTGCAAGTTTGCAGACCTCAGGCAGTATGATTCCCAAGCTCCATCCTGCACTGATATTCTGATTCTTCTGTGCTTCCTTCTATCTTCTGCGTCACTTCTCCACCAGCTGATGTTCTGCCTTCTGCTTAAATGCCTCCATGATGGGGAATTTGCTATTTTACCTCAGACAGAACTGTTAGATTGTCGTGCCTGGCCTTGAGCTCACACCTGCTTCCCTGAACTTGTGCCTAAATAGATGACTTAGGTTCAGGGTAGGTAATGCCCTTAGGCACTTGGAGCCTTGGTGATCAATGTATAATTTCTGTCTTCTGGAGGCATATAGAGCTGCTGCTTTCTGCTATTGTATATAGTGACAGAGATAGCATCTGTATATCCTTTGAAAAAAGCACTTTAAAAACATTGTCGCTTAGTTTATACAGCAACCCTGTGAGCCCTGTGGTGGTACCACCTGCATTTTACAGGCGAGGAAGCTGAGGTCAGAGAGTTAACGGAGTGACCCTCAGACCAAGTTTGTGCCCCTCTCACCAGCTGATCACCTCTTCCCCAGCCCTGTCCCCAACCTTCTGTTCTGACTCCCGCAAGCCCATAGCCTCCTGTTCTCTTGCCCTCCCTCTGCAGGTTTCCATGTGATCCCCACTATCTCGAGCATCGTCCCGGAGAGCTGCCTGCTGATTGTGGTGGGGCTGCTAGTAGGGGGCCTGATCAAGGGTGTGGGCGAGACACCCCCCTTCCTGCAGTCAAAAGTCTTCTTCCTCTTCCTGCTGCCGCCAATCATCCTGGACGCAGGCTACTTCCTGCCGCTGCGGCAGTTCACAGAGAACCTGGGCACCATCCTTATCTTCGCCGTGGTGGGCACACTATGGAATGCCTTTTTCCTGGGTGGCCTCATGTATGCTGTGTGTCTGGTGGGCGGCGAGCAGATCAACAACATTGGCCTTCTGGACAACCTGCTCTTCGGCAGCATCATCTCAGCCGTGGACCCTGTGGCCGTGCTGGCTGTCTTCGAGGAAATTCACATCAACGAGCTGCTACACATCCTCGTCTTCGGGGAGTCCCTGCTCAATGACGCTGTCACTGTGGTGAGAGGGCGGGGGCCACACCCCCATGCACACAAGGCACATACCTGAATCCAAGTCCAGAGTGACTGACGTGCCTGCCGATAATAGTAATGAAACAGCAAATG